ATCGAGTTCGATGATGAAGTACGAGCTTTGATACTTTTATCTTCTCTACCAGAAAGTTGGAAAGCTACTGTCACAACTGTGAGTAGCTCATTGGGAAGCAATAAGTTAAAATTTGATGATATTCGTAATTTGGTTCTCAGTGAAGAGATCCGGCGGAGGGAGTCGGGTGAATCATCAACCTCTTCAGTATTGCATATAGAGTCAAGAGGAAGAAGTTCAACCAAAGAAAGCGGACACGGAAAATCAAAGGGCAAACGATCCAAGTCCAGAAATCATCGTAGTTCCCAAAACTCGAAGCAAATCGAGTGTTGGTATTGTGGGAAGACCGGGCATTACAAAAATCAGTGCAAGAATGCACGAAAGAATCAAGAAGCGAAGGACGAGGCAAACGTTGCATCTACCTCAGGGAAAGATGATGTGTTGATATGCTCTTTAGAAAGCAAGGAGGAATCTTGGGTGTTAGACTCTGGAACATCTTTCCATGCTACCTCACAAAAGCAACTGTTCAAGAATTATGTTCCCGGAAATCTTGGTAAAGTTTACCTTGGTAATGAGCAATCGTGTGATATTGTAGGTAAATGTACAGTAAAGATTAAGTTGAACGGGTCTGTATGGGAATTGAAAAATGTCAGACATATTCCCGACCTGACGAAGAACTTAATCTCAGTGAGTCAGTTAGCCAGTAAAGGTTACACAACAATCTTCCACGGCGATGATTGGAAGATCTCAAAGGGTGCGATGACAATTGCTCGAGGCAAAAAGAGTGGTACTCTTTACAAGACTGCGAGGAGCATGTCATTTGATTGCGAGTTGCAACAAATGAAAATCCCAATCTATGGCACCAAAGACTTGGGCATATGAGTGAGAAAGGGATGAAGATCATGCACTCAAAAGGAAAACTACCAGGTCTTCGATCGGTAGAAATTGACATGTGTGAAGACTGCATACTTGGAAAGCGAAAGAGAGTTAGCTTTCGGACAAATAGAAGAATTCCAAAGAAAGAGAGACTTGAGCTTGTCCACTCGATGTTTGGGGTCCAACGACTGTCCCATCCGTTGGTGGGAAGCAATACTTCGTGACGTTTATCGATGATCACTCCAAAAAGGTATGGGTTTACTTTCTGAAACACAAGTCAGAAGTATTTGAAGCTTTCAAGATTTGGAAAGCTATGGTAGAATATGAAACAAGATTGAAGATTAAGAAGCTCGAGATCCGATAATGGTGGTGAATATGTAGACACCAGATTCAAGAAGTTTTGCTATGAGCACATAATCGGAATGGAGAGGATCGTGCACGATACGCCACAACACAATGGTGTAGCTGAGCGTATGAACCGAACGTTGACTGAAAGAGCCAGAAGCTTGCGTGTACAGTCAGGCTTACCAAAGCAGTTCTGGGCAGAAGCAGTTAACACAGTAGCTTACTTGATCAACCGAAGTCCATCGGTACCATTGGAGCACGGAATACCAAAAGAGGTATGGAGCAGAAAAGAGGTAAAACTCTCACATCTTAGAGTTTTCGGTTGTGTAACATATGTCCATATCAGTGATCAAGGTAGAAACAAACTTGATCCAAAATCAAAGAAGTGCACTTTCATTGGTTATGATGAAGATGAGTATGGTTATCGCATATGGGATGATGAAAACAAAAAGATGATTTGCAGCAGAGATGTAATCTTCAATGAAAGAGTGTTGTACAAGGACATGCATAAAACAGGTATTAGCAATTCAGAATCGAGTGGGCCAGTTTTTGCAGAAGTGGAAGATGTCCTAGAAAATCCTATAGTGAGGAGTCTTCAGTCAGAGGAATCAATTGAAGAAGGTGATGTGCAACCAGAACCTCTTACTCCAACTCCTGTATTGAGAAGGTCCTTTAGACCTCATGTGCCAAACAGGAGATACATGGACTACATGTTGTCGGTCGATGGAGGGAGCTCGAAGATTATATGGAAGCTTGTCAAACCACGAGATGCTAGCAAGTGGGAGTTTGCCATGAAAGAGGAGATGAAGTCTCTGATCTCCAATCAGACATGGGAACTAGTCAAGTTACCCATGGGAAGAAAGCACTTCACAACAAATGGGTGTATCGGGTGAAGGAAGACCATGATGGTTCCAAGAGATACAAAGCCTGACTAGTTGTCAAAGGATTTCAGCAGAAAGAAGGAGTTGACTACACTGAAATCTTTGCTCCAGTCATAAAGCTCAATACTATCAGAACAGTATTAAGTATTGTGGCTAGTGAAGAGCTCTACCTAGAGCAATTAGATGTCAAGACTGCATTTCTCCACGGAGACTTAGATGAGAAGATCTACATACACCAACCTGAAGGATTTTCAGAAGGAAAGAAGGATATGGTGTGCAAATTGTAGAAGAGCTTGTACGGTCTGAAACAAGCTCCAAGACAGTGGTACAGGAAGTTTGAAAGCTTCATGCACAAGGAAGGTTTTCAGAAGTGCAATGCCGATCACTGTTGTTTCTTCAAGAGGTATAAGTCCAGTTATATCATATTGCTACTTTATGTTTATGACATGTTAGTAGCAGGTTCAAATATGAGGGATATCAGAAATTTAAAGATGCAGTTGTCAAAGGAATTTGACATGAAGGACTTAGGACCAGCAAAGAAGATTCTTAGAATGCAAATCACGAGAGATAAGCAAAAAGAAGTTTTGCAGTTATCTCAAGAGGAGTACATCAACCGTGTTTTGCAAAGATTTAACATGGACAAGGTCAAACCAGTCAATACACCTTTGGCCAGTCATTTTCGTCTATCCAAGGATCAGTCTCCTCAAACAAAGGAAGAAGAAGAAATTATGGCTAAGGTTCCGTATGCTTCAGCCATTGGAAGTTTGATGTACGCAATGGTCTATACAAGGCCAGACATTGGCCATGTAGTGGGAGTTGTGAGCAAGTTTATGGCAAATCTAGGAAAGGCTCACTGGGAAGCCGTCAAGTGGATTCTAAGATATCTACGAGGAACAACAAAAAAATGTCTGTGTTTTGGAAAAGGAAATCTAAGATTACAGGGCTACGTAGATGCAGACTTTGGAGGTGAAGTTGATCACTGAAGAAGCACCACCGATTATGTTTTCACGGTTGGTACTACAGCTGTTAGTTGGATGTCGCGAATACAAAAAATTGTTACTTTATCCACTACAGAGGCTGCGTATGTAGCAGTGACAGAAGCCAGTAAAGAATTGATATGACTTCAAGGATTGTTAGCAGAGCTGGGATTCACTCAAGAAGGGAGTGTTTTGCATAGTGATAGTCAGAGTGCAATACATCTGGCAAAGAATTCAGCATTTCACTCCAGAACCAAGCACATTGATATTCGTTATCATTTCATCAGATCTCTACTTGAGGATGAGGTGTTAACATTGAAGAAGATTGTAGGAAGCAAGAACCCAGCAGATATGCTAACGCAGGTGATGATCATTGACAAACTAAAATTGTGCTCAACTTCAGTTGACTTGCAAGAGTAGCAGACCAGAGAAGACTACTGCATTAATCAAGGTGTGAGGACAGATTGAAATCAGTCCTCAAGTGGGAGATTGTTGGTGTTTGAAAAGTCAAAAAAAGGTGGCAAGTGGTTGGTTGACAAGTGGTTGGTTGGCAAGTGGTTGGAGACAAGAAAAATTGGAAAGCCTTAAATGCACAAGAACCATTCCTTTTGCTATAAAATGTTCTTTCACTTCACTCATTTCTATCATCCAATTCCAAAGCAATCATTACAAGAGTTAGCCAGCAAGAAGCAGAAAGAAAATAATCTAGCTTCTGGGTGTAATTGGGTTGAGGGTTGAGTGTTTTGAGAGTGCTTTGTAAACACCTGTGTATTTTTTTTTTCTCCCAGTAAAATATCTGCAGTAGTCCAGAGACGTAAACAATTTTAGCCGAACTCTGTTATCAATTGGTGTGTCCAATTATTCCGTCTTTATTTCATTTTTATTTCACTTTCATAGATCTGACAACATGAAAAAGTTCTGTGTATTTTTCCTAACAAATTGGTCCAAAATTTTTTTAACATGAAAATGTATTTTGGAAAAGTAATGCTACCCATCCAAAATTCAATGACTTTTTCGGTTTAGTATTTGCTTTTAGAAATTCAGCAATTAGCTTATTAAAATTTTGGTTATTGAGAAAGGGGAAACATAAATTTGGGTTCCGTGGTTCTGAACATAAAAGACAGTAATATTATACAATTTTCCTACATTTTTTCTATAAAAATGACTTTTAGTAGGTAAGCTGTAAATTTGGACTTTTCTTACCACATAATTAACTAATATTAGAATAATAGATTTGACTTAAGTTATTAAGTATCTTGGAATTAACTAGTTTAACTACGAATTGGCTAGTCAACTATCAAACAACCATATGCCAACAATATGTCTATGAACAACCAAATCTAGTTTTTAAAATACTCTTATTTGAGATAAAAAAAAAGAACTATTGAAAAAAAAAAATAAAAATGAATCCAACGTTAGGGGATCCAATAGAAGCGAGGTCCAGTAGACCATATAGCATGAACAGAGAATATAAATTGGATAGCTACGTACATAATAAGAAGAAATCCAGATTTCCAAAAAAAGGAATAAACATGATTTTTTTTTTTTTTAAATATCCCAAAACAGAGAGAAACCAAAACTCTCACTTTTGTTTCTTTCTAAATAAAACCAAACGGACAATTGTAGTTACAAAATCGCACCAAACCTGAAAAAACCATATACATCATACTTCTATTCAATATATATTTTCGTTATATGATATAACATATATTTTCCTTTATATATAATAATGCGAAAAGACAAGAATTAGATAAGAAAAAGAAAGAAAGGAATGGACCCAACAAAGACAAGGTCCAATAGCACTAACAAGGAATATAAATACGATAGCTCCATTATAGGGTGAAAAATAGATCCTCATACTGAAAAAAACTTCTTTTTCTCTTATTTTTCATCTACCTTCATCAGACACCCTCCTCACACTTTCTCATACACATTTCTTCATATGGCACTTCAGCCACCACTTCCGAGTAGTGAACTCTCGTTCACCTCTCGGCTGAATTCGGTGGTGGCTAAGAGCCGCCTTGGGAAGCGTTTTAAGCTTGTAGAGCGCGGTACTACTTTTACAACCGAGTTACGTGCCGGTACAGCCACGTTTCTCACCATGGCCTACATCCTTGCCGTCAACGCCACCATCATAGCCGACTCCGGCGGCACTTGCTCCGTTTCCGATTGCACCCTTCTATGCTCTGACCCAAAAATTCCCCTCACCCAATGCCCCACCAATCTTCTCATCCAACCCGACTCCTCATGCAAGTACCCGCCCGTCAACCCGGGTTACGCAGCATGTGTCGAACGAACGCGCCATGATCTCATCGTGGCCACTGTCATATCCTCCCTCGTGGGTTCCGCCATAATGGGCGTGTTCGCGAACCTTCCATTGGCTCTCGCTCCAGGTATGGGTGCCAACGCATACTTCGCCTACTCCGTGGTCGGGTTTCACGGGTCGGGTTCCATACCCTACCGAACAGCATTAACCGCTATATTCCTAGAAGGCTTGATTTTTCTTCTAATCTCCGCCGTTGGATTCCGCGCGAAGCTCGCGAAACTCGTTCCGAAACCCGTCCGAGTTTCCTCCTCTGCCGGAATCGGTCTCTTTCTGGCCTTCATTGGGCTTCAAAGCAACGAAGGCATTGGGCTCATCGGGTTTAGCCCATCAACACTCATCACACTCGGAGCCTGCCCGAGAGATAAACTAACGGCGTTAGCTCCCGTCACAACAATAAACGGAACCGTCAGTTTAATCCCTGGCGGCGCCGTCTCCGACAAGATACTATGTTCCGGGGCCCGCATGGAGAGCCCCACCCTATGGCTAGGTCTGGTCGGGTTCATGATCATAGCGTATTGTCTGATGAAAAACATAAAGGGCGCTATGATATACGGCATCGTCTTCGTAACCGTGATCTCGTGGTTCAGGAACACGCCTGTTACGGTGTTCCCAAACACGGAGTTGGGCGACGCGGGGTATAAGTACTTCAAAAAGGTTGTTGACGTGCACGTGATTAAATCCACGGCGGGGGCGCTGAGTTTTGATCACATGCGGAAAGGTGCATTTTGGGAGGCACTCTTCACGTTTCTGTACGTTGATATATTGGACACGACCGGGACTTTATATTCGATGGCTAGATTCGCCGGGTTTCTCGACATGAACGGTGATTTCGAGGGTCAATATTTCGCGTTCATGTCTGACGCGTCGTCGATCGTGGTGGGGTCGTTGCTGGGCACGTCGCCAGTGACGGCGTTTATCGAGTCATCAACGGGGATACGCGAGGGGGGACGGACGGGGCTTACGGCGTTAACGGTGGCGGGATATTTCTTCTTGGCGTTTTTCTTCACGCCGTTGCTGGCGTCAATTCCGCCGTGGGCGGTAGGGCCGCCGTTGATCTTGGTGGGGGTGATGATGGTACGATGCGTGGTGGAGATTGACTGGGAGAAGATGAAGGAAGCGATACCGGCGTTTGTGACGATTTTGTTGATGCCGTTAACGTACTCCATAGCTTATGGTTTGATAGGGGGCATTGGAACGTACCTTGTGTTGCATGCGTCGGAGTGGGGAGAGGAGTTGGTGAGGAAATTTATGAGGAAGGAGAAGAACTTGAAGGAGGTCTCATCCATTGTTCATGATCATCATCAACCAGGAGATCATAAACCTATTGAAGTGTAGAGATCATACATAAAATATATCTTTCATAAATGTTATTTAGGAAACGCTATTTAATCCAACAAATTATGTTATTAGGTGGTTTATGATTTATGTTTTCGCTCAGTCTTAACACCATGTACACTTTAGTCTGGTTGATTTTTTGCTTTTCATAACATGGAAAATCTTATTATAGTGTAAATATTAACACAACTGTATATAAGGATATTTGGTAGTTTTAATATTTTAGATTTTTTTCTTTTTAATTTTTTATTTGTTTTTTTTATCATTTATTTATAGTTTAGTTATCATATTTTCAAGAATTCATAATTTTGGTCTGGTTCTTAATTTGGCATACATATTTATTTCTTTTATTTTAACCTAACATAAATCTAGAGGACCAGAGAGAAATAATTTAATTTAATTAAACTATAAATGAAAATAAATATATAGAATTGAGAAATTGTCTAAGCTATATGGAAACTAAATTAAAAAAATAAGATAAATAATTAAATGGGGACTGAGATTACAATTTAGTTATTGTTTATTATTGATTGAAAATTTGTGCGTTGCAATTCTTACTTAATGGCACTTTTATGATTTTATAATTTTAGGAAAAGGCTCATTGATTAATTAGGAGTTGAATTGTAAAATTTAAATTATCCACAATGACAAAAAAAAAAAAAAATGAGCATGTGTATGTATGTACAAGATGTTGTTTGTGCAATAGCGTTAATGCAAAGGATATATATTCAATTAGTGGGTCTTGATAACATAGATATGGTGACCCCCACCCAAATAACGAGTTTCCGTATGAAAAGTATTTGTAAACAAAAATATGACCTTAATAGTTACTTATATATTTTTTAGATGTAAAAAATATAAATACACAGAAGATAGAGTTAATAAAATATATTGGATGTCAATTTCTTGAGAATAGAGTCCTTAATTAATAAGAATTACTCTAAGTGTAATTTTGTATGACATTATTAAAAAATAAAATTTTATAACAGATGATAATTCATATATATATCATGGTTTTTATTTATTAATTGCTTATTTTCATTCATTGATTAAACGGAAAAGACAAAGAACAAAGAATAGTTTAGACTGGTGTTTCAGCTGTGGAATCAACTTTTTTAACTATTAGTAATTATTGTAAACTTTTTTATTGAGATAACTAATTTATTTTAATAGATAAAATATTTTACGGTGATTTATTATTTTTATGTTATCATAAATGTTTAACATAGAGAGTAATCTCTTACTCTTATTGATGATTACGATGTCCAGATCTTGTTATTTGATCTATATATGGGATTGATTGAGTGTTCAATATCTCTTTCAAATATATAATGGAAATCTCTCTAAAAATCATATCAATTATCTAAAAAATGTGTATAAAATAATAATTAGTCCTAGAAAATATCATATTTAAATTTAACTATATAAATAAAAAGGAGTCTTAGAATTAAGAAAAAAAGAAAAATACCCTCTGAAATTGTTGTTTTTGAAAAACCTATCCCAAACAACAACAATAATGAATCTCTCTCAAGATCACATAATTTTAATAATTTATATTATTGGATACATAGTTTATATTATATATATTAATAAAAAATATAATAATCATAATTATGGTGTCAAACTGAATCAATATAAAAATAAAATAGAAAATTGATAAGAAAAAAACGAACCAATAGGTAAGGTAAGAAAGCAAAGTTTTTCAACTAAAATTAGCTTACATACAAAAAATGACATTGCATCATTTTCAATACCAATAAACAGTTTTAAAATTAATTTAGTGTCCAACTAATATGATAGAAATGCATGTACAGGGAGGATAAATAGATTTCCAGTGCTTAATTATATATCAATAAAAATACTTTCCTTGTTCATGAGAGAGACTTTTACTTAAAGTGTAAACCTTTTTGGGTATAAATAAAGGCACTTAAATTCATAAATTGTCCCACAAGATTTATACTTTATCAATTTAAAAATTAAGAATTAAGAATTAATTACAGTACTTGGTATAAACATTGCATATATGCTCTTTCTTGATCAGAAACAAATATAGTGTATCATCTATTTCTACTCTCAGAATGTGCAATACTACTCGGTGCTTGAAAAAGCAAGTAGAAAGAGTTATTTACGTTAAAAAATCGTATCAAGATGTTGCCCCTGCCCAATATTGCAACATAGATATTCCTCTTAGGGTTTCAAGAAGCTCAGAGAATCACAAGAACATATCATGTTCCATCCTAAGATAAATATACTCAGATACATTATCTGCATTTGATATATACCCAAATTTTTATTTGCACATATCTTGACCATTTATTCCTTTTATATTGAAAGCACAAAAAATAGTTCAAAGATCGCCCTCGATAAAATGAGGGCAGCTAAAATTTGAATTTCATGTTCTTTTTGAATTTATGCAAGGGCTTCCATCCCTACAGTTATCTAAATCTTCCTCCAACATTTCAATCAGCTTGTCCTTCTCATAGATTACTTCTAAGAGCCTAATATTTTCTTCTTTGAGAGCCTCAAACTGGCAAACTATTCCTGCAATTTGAGCTTCAATGGCCTCATCACTCAACTCAAAGACACTCTCCAACACTCTAATCACACGCCACAAACTCACTACAACCAGCAAACCACCCCCTTTTCTCACCACAAACGCTTCCAAAAATATAGCCCCTATCACCACAACTCCATCAAGAACATACCCCACATGCTGGAAAAATGAAGACCCTAACCCCACTAGTAGAGCCATGGTCTTGGCTAGAAGAAAACTCAGAATACCAATTCCAATCCAATGGAAACATTGTTCTGCTGCGCTGCTTATGTGTCTCTCACATGAAACCAGAGATGAAGATAGCTCAAGGGTTGTGATGATGAGATCTACAATAAGCAATGAGATTGTGAACACATGAACCCAGGTTGAATCAAGGAAAATGGCCAAATGGGTGCGCCATGATGCTCTATTGTTCAAACCTTGTTGGCTAGGTGTGGTGAATAGAAGCAACCATCTTTGCCTTCGCTTCCCTAATTTTACTAAACTCTGGACTGATGAATCTAATATTTGCATGGAAAATGAATTGGTGGGGGCTTGTGTATGGTTGGTTTCTGAGGAAACATGGACAGATTTCAAGGTTTTCATTGATGAGAAGTGCAAATTTGGTGATAAGTTCACCATTTTAATAGAACAAGAGAATGATGGTTAACTTTGACGAATTGGATTGTGGCATGCTAGTGAAGTGCAAGCAAGGTCTGAAATGTTTTGCAAACTTTAGCTTTGGGGTTAAGTTATAAGACGGCCACATTATTTGCACAGTTTGTTGTCGTGTCATGATAAACTCTCCTAGCATTCCTTTGGAACCTTGGATTATTTCAAGCCATCTCGAAATGAGATGAAACAAAAAAAAACAAGGTTTTTCTATAAGTTTCACCCTAAAGCTTATTGAATTTAAGTTCAGAAGGTCATAGGCACTGCCAAATGCTGCTTTTAATTACCATACTTTCACTTTCCATGGCCAATCTCATAACATGCTTACCAATTTGTGAACCCCGAATCAATTTTTCTTTCCTTGGTATGGTTGAACTTGAGCACAATAGAAAATCTATGCTGGTATTACCTTTTGAAAGCGACCTCATTAGTTTTTGTTTAAACAAAAATAGTTTCTTTTTATGTTAGATGATATGTGAAGATCGGAAAATTTTGAATTAAGTGTGCTATGCTCATAGTTGTTACTTTTTATTTTTTTTTTGAAAAACATAGAAGTAAAGATTCTAGTGATAAATATCCAAACCTTATATTCTGGAGCAATCTTTTTTTTTGGGTAGAGAAAAAAATTGTAAGGTTTAAAACGTAATCTAATTCATCAACATTAAAACATTACAATTAGTATTTTCGTACAGGATATTTTATTTGTATTTTAATGTGTGAGTGGAATTATTGTTAGTTGGGCCTTGACTCATCCAAGTGTTGTTAACATGAGAAAATGGAGCCCACTAACAGGGCTATTTCAGGCCTGGTTTCATGCATGTTACCAACCACAGGATACAGTTCCTTCCTTAGTTCCAAGTGTTGAAAATTCAATATTTTAATGCACATTTAATCTCTTGGTTGAATAATGTTTATAATTTGATATCTTTTGCTTTTTATATTGGAAATTCATGTTATAAGGTTAGCACAAAATGTTCTTTTGAATCATCCATGATTTACTTAATAGATAAATGTTTAGTGAGATTTGTTGAAAAAACAATAATAATATAATAATCCTGATTTTGATTCTAACGATCAAACATAAACATAATCTCATACTGATAAATATGCTGTAAACTGAATGCGAAAGCGTACCTGAATTAGCCATAACGATGATGTCTTTGTAGAGCACTATATTGATCTTATGGTCTTCCACCTGAAGAGTACATGTATTTCCCTCTTGATTTTCTCTCTTGATGGGGATAGAAAGAAAGGAACGAGACTAATACTTACGTTCTGTGTGTGTGCTCCCAGAAGGGGACCACGACCCCTTAAAATAACCAGAATTAGGTTAATTACTTAAGTTTTAGTATTTCCAATTTGACCTCTCATCAAATTAAAAATTGCTTTATGGTCTCTACACAATTTTATTTTCATGACATATGTCTTTAGCCAAAACTTTAATTTAGTCAGATCACTTTATTATTTGGCTTAATAAATAATGACCCTAACATATTTAAATTATATATCATATATATACATAACCCAAATTTTGCCAACAATCTCCCACTGGTCACAAATATATATGTCCTTACAACCTTGCAAATGTGTTAGACTTTATGAGCTCAAAATTGCCATTATATTCCTTTAGCATACTCCAAAAGTCCTGTCCATTAATCATATCAGGATATAGAACCAAACCAGCTTTTCATTGCATCATCGCAACTAAAACCAACAATGATTACTCATCCTAACATAACCAAATGACATGGATTCATCATGAAATGTATAGCATGAAAAAATTACGTGAAGGTGATCTGTACACGTCTATTTTCAACTGGTCCAAACTTTAACTTATCGAGATCGATATAATATCCTTAATGTACAAAGTGTAATGAATGAACGAAAAACCGTATATCTATAGATAACCAAATATGTCCAAAAATCAATGTATACATATATGAAATTAAACATAGAACATAAAATATATGAAAGTGACTAACTCCCACTAAACCACAAATTCCTCAAACTGTAAAACACCCATGTGAGCAATATGCTCATGAAAGACCTTGGGCGGAAGTCCTTTAGTTAGAGGATATGCTATCATGGAGTTTGTCCTTAAGTGTTCTATGAAAATCTATCCACTTTGTACTCTTTCCTTAACAATATAGTTGATTTATTGTCACAATATAACTTAAGTGGTCTTTCAATGCCTTTCACAATTTGCAGCCCTGTGACAAAATTTCTCAGCCATATTCCATGATTTGATGCCTCATAGCATGTTACAAATTCTTGACATCCTACAAAATCTGAGTCAGAAAACCCAGCGATCTCCAACTAGTCTGACCTCCTATATGTGAGCATATAATCTTTTGTTATCTTTAAATATCTTATGACCCTTTTTGCTGCTTTTCAATGGTCTATTCCTGGATTGCTTAAATATCTGCCTAGAACCCCAACTATATATGCTATGTCTGGATGCGTACATACTTGGGCATAAATCAAACTCCCTACAACTGATGCATAGGGAATCTTTTGCATTTCCTCAATTTCCAAATTCCCTTTGGGCACTGATTGAGACTAAACTTGTCTCTCTTTAAACTTGTGATACATATAATCATCAACAATATTCATTTTGAAGCCAAATGAGTTTCATACCTTATGGTAATGGGACAAGTTTCCAATAACCTTATTGTCTTGCATGGACTTATACTTATCCTATTGCTTCAATCCACTTTTGAGAGTTAGAACCTTGTATAACTTGATGGAAGTTAACTGGGTCATCTTCCATTATATCATTATTTTCCTCTTGTTCCTGAAGAAATACCATGTAATCATCCGAAATAGCACTTCTTCTTTCTCTAGTGGATCTCTGCAAAGTTATTAGCTCATGATGCACAGGTTCTTGAGGATCTTGAGTTTGTTCTTCATGAACAACCAAATCATCTTGAGTAAGGGGTTCATCAACAATGCCTTATGGAGGTTCCGAACTTACTTTATCAAAAGTAACTATTTGAATCGGTTCGAAATTGTTACCGATTCTTCCTCCAAGATGAAGTTCTTAATCTTATTCTTCCCCCCAAACTCAATATCCTCAAAGAACGTAGCAGTTCCAGTCTCAAAAATTGTCTTTAATGTGGGATCATAAAATTTATATCCCCTGGATCTTTCAAGCATAACCAATAATATAACTACTTACTCGTTCGGGAGTCCAATTTCTTTTCATTTGACTTATAAGGTCTTGCCTCAGCTGGACAATCCCACACATGGAAATGCTTCAGACTAAGTTGTCACCCAATCCAAAACTCATAAGGTGTTTTGGTAGCTGCTTTAGTTGATACTCTGTTTAGAATATAAGCTGTCGTATTTAGTGTTTCTCCCCAAAGTGATTCCAGTAAGGTGGAATGACAAATCATACTCTCTACCATATCTTTAAGAGTGTAACACAAGCCCAAACGTCACGATTTGATTGTGACCTGAGCACTTGTGCCATAATGCACCTGAGTGAGTATTTTTAATTTTACGTTTAGTACCACGTGATTCTGTATTAAGGGTTTCATTATAGGTGACCACAATATCAAGTAAATACTGATTATCATAAATCAAAAGTGAATCAGTTCCAACAATATCTGAATTAAAAGACAAACTGAACTTATTGTTTCCAAATGAACACAAATAACATAATTTGTCCAAATAAGAAACTGAAACCAAATTCCGTCTAAATGACGGCTGAACAAAAGTTTCTTTCAAATCCAAATAAAAAACCAGTACTCAATAACAATTTAAAATGTCCTATAGCTTCCACCTCTACCGATTTACCATCTCCAACATAAATCCATCTTTCATAATCAATTGGCTTCCGATAGTTTAGGCAACCCTTTCTTTTCACGCCAAGCATGATATTTATTACATTTCTTCTTTATGTGTCCAGTCTTATTGCAAAAGAAACATTTGTTTTCTTGAGTTTGTTTCTTTTGTTCTGGACCCTTAGCAGCTTCTTTCTCGAGATCCTCTAATCTCTTTCTTTTGCCCTTAGCCTTGGAGGTGCTTACAAAATGAGCACTTTCTGTCTTGTCTTGCTTTAGTCTTTCCTCTTCTTGTACGTAATGTGAAATGAGCTCATTAAGAGACCATTTATCCTTCTGACAGTTGTAAGATACCTTAAATTGATTAAACGTTGCAGGAAGAGAAATCAACACCAAATGAATGAGCAAGTCTTCTGAGAGTTCAAGCTTTAGTGCCTTGAGTTTAAAAACAATATTAGACATGCTCATAATGTACGCCCTGATATTTCCTTTGCCTTGATATTTCATGGAGATCAAGTTCTAAAGAAGAGTGCTTGCCTCCGCCTTATCACTTTTTGCAAAGCGCTGCTCAATTTAAGCAAGAAATTCTTTGGCACTTGTGATGTTTTCAGAAACAGTGCCCCTAAACACCTCCGGGATGTCGCGCTTAATGATCATTAGACTCATGCGATTTGAGCGATCCCACTTCTCATAATATATTTTCTGTTCAGAGGTACTTGAATCCGTAGGAGTAGAGAGTTGCTCAGTCCTTAACGTAAGATCCATATCCATGCAACCAAGAACAATATCAATGTTCTCTTTCCAGTCCTTAAAATTTGTTCCATTGAGGACCGGAATAGAATTTAAATTGGCAGATACAGAAGCAATTGTAGCTGAATTTAGAACACGAGAAGTAAACTAATTATGCTCACATTATATAAAAAATAAATAATATATATTCAAATAGTGGTTTAATCCATCTCAAGACACCTAATGCACCATCAATATCAAGTCTTTGGACAGTAATATTAACTCGCTAAAGGTATCTTGTTGTAATAATCAAACATTGACAATAAAGCACGTTCAACAACAAACCGAGTCTTTGGATTGATTTATCATCGACAAAGCAAATCCTTATAATTATCACATGTTTATCATTACAAGTGTGTTTGCAATTTGACCAAATATTAATCTTCCTTTGAGTCG